CATCTGTGTAGCACCCTACTGGTGTCATGCATTTCATTTTGGCGCTGACCCCAGTTGTCTAACTTCCTAAGATACCTTTGGGTCTTAATCTTATACACCCATGTGTTTACAAATCCCCTCAGTTTTGCCATCTGTAAATCTGCTCATTATACTCTTGTTCTGCATTCCAAGTCACTAATAAGGACGTTGAACTGCCGAAGGACCTGGAACAGACCCATGTGGAATCCCACTCGAACCGTTCTGCTGCTCTGATATCGAACCACTTATAGTTGCTCTTTGCCTACAGGTATTCAACCAACTATGTATTCACACAATGGTAAATCTAGTTGGATTGTATCTAGGTATGGTGACAGGGCAGGAATTTATTATATAGTGTAGTCATTCCATTTTTAAGGGTATACATGTTTGTGGGTGTGTCTGTTGTGCCACTGCTCAGATACTGTTCTTCTGAAGGGTACTGAAGCTGAAAGGAGAAGAGCTCTTAGCAAACACAATCAATTAAAAGTAGAGAACAAAACTTGCTTTTCCAAAGTGATAATTATACAAGGACCAATTTAGTAAACAAAGAAGTGATTGAGAAAACACCACCAGGAGAAATCAGATAATGAAATTATTTATACACAGTGGCAAAAATGCAGCAATTATAAACTAATTAAGATCCCGAATTAGGCTTTGAAGTGGCTACCTTTCACCCTACCACAGTTTCTTACAGCTTGCAGTTTTGAATCCTGGCTTATTTGGCAATGTTCCAAGTGTATAATATGTAGTTCAAGAGCCATATGTTTATATAAAAGAATAAAGCTCTGAACCACAGTGCACAGTGGACTGAATCAGCACGTGGAGGTAAACTACCCTCTTACACTAAGACTAGAAATAGATGTTTTCAAATGAAGTGGATCAGCTGTTCTGAGACGTGGTGGCACAAAGGTAACAAAAAGCAATGTCTCTTTCCACAATAAGAGAAACATTGGTGGGTTGGGAAGCTTATATTGCCATGTGCTGTCCTGCACCTGTTTTGGGGTGTGAGGGGAGGAGTTCATCGTTACTAAAATACAGACCAAGGTTTTCAAGAGTGGGAGTTCAAAGTTAGGTTCTCAGTTCTGTGTTTGGGCATCAGAGCAAATGTCCTGATTTTAAAAAGTATTGAATAACAGTCCTCAGTAAACCCAATAGCAGTCTCTTCATTGACTTCAACAGGATGCAGATGCTATGCCTAGTTCCTTATGTGGGACTGACTGTATGTAGGAGATGGTTTTGCTAAGAGGTAAGGGGAAAGAAGGACTTTTTCAGGTCATTGTCTGCGGACATCATTATTCTTTTTTTTTTCTTTTTTAAAATACCTTTGAAAAGTGTGGTTATACTGCATTGACCTGTGCTGGGAGCACCATTATAAAAACATGCTCTCCTTTGCATGTGTTGAATGCTTTCTGAGTTATGCTGGAACAGCCTGAGATGGGGTGAGTGAGAAGGTAGCTTCAAATCATCTTAGCTCTGTTCTCTGCTGTGCCAGGCCTCCTGACTTGCCCAGGGAGTTTGCTGGAGTGGGGGCTCCATGTGAAATTATATCAGCAAACCCTGTTTGTACATATACCAATATCTGTCTGGGGGTTACACCGTGCTTGCTGTCATGTTAAATGGAAAGAATGGGGTGACTGTACTGGCAGGTAAAAAAATGAAGAGGTATCCCATGAACAGTATTAAAGGTCCTGCATGGCCAATCTTGTGAGATATTTCATGCTCTCAACTCCCTTTCCAGGCTGTACACTTGATGTCTCACCGCTTTACAAAGTAGATGTAAAATGCTTCTAAATCACTGCTCTCCACTTGCTTGTGTAGTGAAGTATTTTATACAGTAGGAACATGCAAGGCACAAGGCAAAGAAGGAATTTGGGGCCTTTTGAATCTATCCCAGAGGTGTAACATGAAGGCAATGGAATGTGAGCATGCAGCTGCTGAGCCACCCCAGGAAACCAAATCCTGACTAGGAAGGCAGATGGTGAGCTAATACTATTGGATATTATGCACAATCACACTCACCCTACTGTCCTTTTGTCCTCTTCCCATCACTGTATTCATCTGAATTAACCACCCATTTGTGGCTTGCCATAAACCAAGATAGTAAGGCTTGGAGTCTGGGTCATAGATGAGCTTTTTACTGCCTGTCTGTTAAAGGAATCAGGCAACCAGCCTTGATTATGGCATTTAAGTGCTTATGCCCCTATGTATAATAATAATATTGAGGTGTAAATTATCCATACTAGAGCATAGAGTTGGTATCCTTGTAATATGAGTGGGAGATATATCACCAGTATGTTCCAGGCTGTTTCAGGTGGGCAACACATACTGGCTAGTATTTGTAAGGTTTTTTTCCCCCAGACCTGTAATGTTAGGAAACTGATTGTTCTCAAATGTAAGCTGAAATTCTTAAGCCTACTAAGAATTATAACTGCAGGAGTTCTAGTTGGATCTTGGGCAACTTTTGATTGAGAAAACTGTGGTGAGAGGTGTTTTTTGCTCATTGAGTCAGGATGACCAAGTCAGGATTTTACACATCAGGATTTTACATCACATCAGACAAAGATTTTACATATCAGGTTAAAAAAATGATTATTTTTCACATAGTTTTCATGATCTGTGTTTCATGAAGTGAAGAAGAGAAAAAGGGATAAGACAAGGGATGCTGACTGAGTGCACATTGAGGTATAGCTGCTGAGGAAGAAATAAGGAAGACAGAAAATGAGGAGACTACAGAGCTGTGAAAGACAGAGTAACCATGCATATAGAAATTATGTAGGACAAGATTCATGAAAGGGCCTTTATTAGTTTAGCCAGAATGAGGTCAATGGTGAACTTGTTAAAAGCAGACATGTGAAAGGGGCAAGAACTGGATGGCAGGCTATCTGAGAGAAGCAGAGGAAGGTCAAGACAGTGGGAACAGAGTGCAACTGCCTTAATTTGAGAGGCAGAGTGAAAGAGGAACATGGAGTTACAATGGGAGAGGTAACTGGGGCCCAGAGATGGCTTTTATGGTAGTGAATATCCAAATTCATCATCTTAACGCAAACATGGACACATGGGCCATGTCCAGATACATGTGGACATTTGGTTCCCTGGGGACAACTAGCAGTGGCACACCCTGTGCCACCACTAATTGTCCCTGGGGAACGCCTGTGCCACATGCCTTCTGGTGCACAGCAAGTTACCCCAGGTGGGGTAGGAGAGGCTGAGGCCAGCACTAGGCTGGTCCCAGCGACCTTAAATGTAGTCCTGGGGTCTCCTGAGGCTGCAGCAGTGGTAATCCTGCAATTAAGAGCCTGGCTGGCAGCAAAATATGGCTCCAGCTGGCTGGCCAGGCTCTGGCTTTAGGTGGTGCATGCTGCTGCTGCTGCATGTGCGCTCTGCTTTTTCTTTTCCATGGGGGGTTTTCACACTTGGGTATCCGGGGATCAACCACCTGCCTCTGCCCCCCCCCCCCCCCCAGTCTTTTGCAGCACTGAGAACAACTGAACATGAGGTATGTGGCACCGCATACATGCCACATAATGCATGGCTATGTTCATCTGGATGCAGCCATAAGGAATATATAAAAAGTTGTTTATCCAAAGATGAAAATTGAGAAATATAATTTTTATTGAATGAATCCCAGCTGTAATCTAATATGATGCACATCAAATGTAAGAAAAATAACATTTGTATGGCTAGGGACAGATTCTCAGCTGGTGTGAATTGCTAAAGTTCCACTGATGTCAATGGAAGTACATTGGCTTACACCATCTGGGGATCTGCCTCCGTCAGATTGTGCAGAGGCAGAGGCAAAAAAACCCCAACAGCCACGTGAATTTCATAGAATTTGTGGTCATAGTCAAACATCTGAAGTGGACAAGTGAGCAATATTTATAAGAGAAAGCATACAAATTAAACAGTATTTTTTTTTTTTTGCTGAAAAGAAACCCTCCAAATCTCCAAATACAACCTCCAATCTTAGGAATAAATGTAAGGAAAGTCAGCATTTAAAGTTAAAAAACCAGCATTCACAGTGAGTACTTCCTGTTTCTTCATACCTACAATGGAAACCTACTGACCGATGGTGTGAACATTTCTACCAGAAGACTTGCATAACTGATGTGATTTAAGAAAATTCATAATGACATTCTCCCGTTTTCATTTTTTCAAGTGTATTTTAATAACAAAAAGGGTTCAGAAAACCCTAAGAAAAAAGCACTACAATAGCTCCAACATATGCAATTTTAAAATTAAATTATGTCCAAATTAAAATAGGCACTTGACCAAGAAGCTGCTGATTTTCATCTGGCTAGCCAGCTTCACATGACTGGAAAGCCTCACATACATATGCACAAACTTTGTGATATTGTGGGCAGCCTTAGCATCAGTCTCTGCATGCTTATTAAAAAGTCATTCTGATTATCTTAATTTGTGGTGCACACACATAGAGGGTGAAATCCTGGTTTCAGTGAAGTCAATGGTAGTGTTGCCTTTGACTTCAGTGGGCCCTTGATTTTATCCATGATCAATATATGTATATAGTGCCTAAAATAGATAGTTTCCACTCTTCCCTATTCATCAATGGTGAAAAGGTTTTGAAATTTAATACCCACCAACGTAATGATGTTTCTGAAACTGAAAAGCTGGTCTGTTTCCCTTAGCATGATTTTCGTTTCAAAGAAGACTTGTACATGGAAGTCAGTACACTTGCAACCTAAATGACTGCAGATACATGCTCTACCAACCAACCTCATCGATGCATGAGTGCTTCCTGAAGTGCACAGCAATCTCTGTCATTCAGCACGAATGTCATACATCAGAATCCTTGAATTGTATAGCTAGCATTTAGAGAGCAGGGAGGCAGACAAGCGGCCAGGCAAGCAGCCAGCCACCCACGCATTGCTACAGCCTGCCTGCTGCAGCCTGCTGTAAGACTGCTGAGTGTAAGCCTTTAAAACTCCAATTGCATTCTTTTAACTTTTAGCTCTGCGCCTTACCTTTGTAGTGCAGGGTAAGTACATGAACCAAAAGGCACCCAGATAAGTGCAGGTTGGATACTTGAGAAATCCAGTGATTTGAATTATTCCTGTGGAAAATGATAAGAAAGTAGGTAGGGTTTAGGTCTGCATTGCAGGCAGAAGGAGTGGTTGCCTACTGTAGTGAGATGGTGACCCAAGGAAAAGTCAGTAATTGACTAAGGGCTGGGAGGGATGAATGCTTACTGGTTTGCTTCTGTTGGCAGAAGCCCAAAAGCTGAGTTGGTCTTGTAAGTGGGCTGATTGTAAAAAATACTTTGGGGCAGGATCAGCTGAATTTGTATATAGTAAAGTCCTTGCGGGCCCCCTCTACATGTGCAGGTAAAAGCTCAGTGGGCCCTAATGCGCAATCCACACAATCGCCCATTATTGTGGGCTCCCCCTGTATTACCAAAAAGCAAGCTCCTGTGGCTGGGAGACCCCTCATCTGAGGGGCTCCCAGCCATGCAGGTGTCCAATGTACCCCTGATACTGGGAGATCTCTGCAGCTGCAGTCTCCTAGTGGTGAGGGTTTCACACACTCCATTGAGGCTGGAAGATTGCATCAGCTGTGATCTCCCAGCTGTAGGGGGTTTTACTCACCCCCAGTGCTGGGACATTATGGTAGCTGTGTTGCCCAGTCTCAGGGCTTGCATGCATCTCTGGGACTGGGAGATCACAGCTGTGCCCCACAGCTGTGAGAACCCAGCTGGGTCCTGGCACTGGGAGACGTGCTGTAAGAACCCAGTCTAGGCAGCTTTAGTCTAGGAGTCCACTCAGTTGTGGGACTTCTGGCTCTGGTGCACCCCTGCAGCTGGGAGCCCTGTCAGCTGATGCAGGGGAGACTGCTACACATGCAAATTAAAGCTTGATAGCAACCAGCTAGAAAGTTTGTGCACATTTTCAAGGTCTTACTTTATAGCTAGTTGGAGCTTTTTATGGAGTGATAGCTACTATGCATGTGTAGCTGCTCTCAAGATAATTGCACAATTAGGCCATGTGTAGACGAAAGAAGGGGCATGTGTGCACAACATTTTAAAGTGGGTTAAATGCTTTTGTGCCACTTTAATGGTGTTGGTGTTTGCAACAATGGCAGTGTATTGCATAGTAGTTCCAGCCACTGTAGCAAATTCGGCAGCATAACGTGCCTTAAATGACTTGGGGTACAGTAAACTAAAACTCCTCCGAGTTTTAGTTTGCAGCCTTACAGCCGTAGAGTGAAGCACCGGGCTCCATGCAGCTCAGGTGCTCTGGCAGCAGCCCGGGAAGACAGCAGCCTGTGCCTGCATGCCTGAGCTATGCGGGGGCCTGGTGCTTCCCTCTGTGGCTGTGGTGCCTCCCGGGACCGCTTGAGCTGGGTGCCTGTGGGTGGGTACCACCTTGGGGGGATGCCGCTGCTGTGGAGGGAAGCACCAGCCCCCACGCAGCCCAGGGACCACTCCACCTGCCAGTAGCTCGCCCTCCCATCCTCGCCGCTGGAGAGGCAAGTAAGTGGGTGTGTGTACAACACCAGGGTTTAAAGGGCCCTAAATTGAAGTGGAGTTTTTAAAAACCCACCGCTTCAATTTGGGCCCCCCGTTTCATCTACACACACCCTTAATCAGTTAATTGTGCAACACTTGTAACATGTAGAGGGGGCCCATGAGACGGATTTTTTTTGGCCTAAATTCTGGTATGAATTAAAAAAAAAAGTGCATCTGGAAATGTTGTATTATCAGTAGTAGGCAGTCTGAAGTTGCTCTCTGGCTGTAAGATGTAAAGAGCTGGCTTCTAGGGTATGCATCTTAATTTTTTTCTTAGTACACTAAGAAATGAGATTTCTCTGGTAATATAATGTGTAATCTACAGTGTTGCAAGGAAAAGAAAAAAATGGCTCAAGAAGCTATGTAATATGCTGTAAGAATTTTCAATATTAAATTCTTGGTTCAAGTCCAGCCCAGATTGGTAGTCTTCTGCTGTTTGGTGGCACTTGTGAAATTAATTTGATAGCCTGATCCAGTAGATACGTTTTATTTTACATAATGAAACCACTGTTGTAATTGGCAGCCATTGGTAATATCTTTGATATTCCTAGGAGAAAGGCCAAAGACTGAAACAGGCATAGATGACATTTCTTTCGTAATGCTGGTTTCAGGCAAATTTGTAAAGTAATTCTGTATAGGGTATGAGGGAAGCTTGTTCTTCTGCTGCCTGTTGGGCAATCCAGGTTCTACGAAACCTCATCAGATGCCTTCTGGCCACTGGTCAAGGTGACTGTCTCAGTCCAACAGCGGGGAGTTCAACTGCAAGGAGTCTGACTCTCTGTATGACTGAGGTTTTATTCCTGGCATTTGTTTATCCAGACATCTGAACAGAACTCCCCTTGGTGGCATCCAGTGATTTTCTTGACACATTTTTGGAGCAGGAGTTGTCTTGGGTACTCTGCTCTGTGTCCATTCCAGGTTTCCACTTATTTTTCCTCCAAGTCCTAGCCTGCCTATTTTATGTTGTTCCTCCCAGAGGTCAAATATACTTGTACCCGTGAACACCAAATTCATATGAATTTCTATTTTGTAAGTAGTAGGTTAGCTATGAGACTATGCAATGGTTTTGTTGTCACATCACAATATTGTTGGTAGCTGGAAGCATTTGGAGATTCAAGCATTAGAGCTCTTGATTTTAAGTTATCAGTAATTTGGGGGTTTCTTCCTAATTTGCCTGGATCTAAAATTATGGTCCATTTATTGTAGCTCAACTACTGATGTACAAACAGTTCATTTACAAGCACAGACAGTTTTAAGGGAGTAAAGTTTAGACTGTGTGGATTAGATCCCTTCTGTTTTAAAGACTAGTGAATCACTTTTAATGTGGAGCAGAGCACAAACAGTGAGCATTTTGTTACACCATAGATTCAGAGCAAGGGATAGGAGGATGACTAAATGGAAACTCAAGAAGTTTATGGGCTGACCAGAGGTATGGTGCTGCCAAGGGGAATGACCCTGGTACTGGCCAAAGGGAATGATCTAGTCAGCAACCTAAGAATCAAAGGGAAGCTGGGAGACAGGAAAGCTGACCTTCACAAGCTCAGGAGTCTCGTTGTCAAGGTCCTGAGAGGCCACAAACTAACAGGGAGGGGAGTCCATGATGAGTGGTCACTTCTTAAGGAAGTGATCCTTGAAGCACAAGGGAAGTCCATTTCAGCCTGCAGAAAAGGTAGTAAAAGGGCTCGGCAACCCCCTTGGCTCAATAGGGAACTCATGGACCTCCTGTGTCTAAAAAGAGAAGCTTATAAAGGATGGAAGACAGGAAACACCACTAAGGAGGAGTATTCAGCACTGGTCCACACCTGCAGGGAGTGAACCAGGAAAGCCAAGGCTGTAGCAGAACTCCAACTGGCTAAACCTCGGACAATAAAAAGTCCTTCTTCAGATATGAGGGATGTCAAAAAAAACCCAAGGACAACACTGGACCCCGGCTAAACCAAATGGGGCAGCTGGTTACCGACATCCAGGAAAAAGCCATTCTACTCAAAGATTACTTTGTGTGGGTCTTTCACCACCTGACAAGATGCAGGCTTACCAGAATAAGGGCGAACATATGTCCATCATTGGCGTAGATCTTGTGAGTGAACACCTTGAAAGGCTGGACGTCCACAAATCAGCTGACATGAAAATCCTTTTCCTGGCAGTACTCTCTTCATCTACACCAGGGATATTACACTTACTGTCTGCGGACCAGATCTGGCCTGTGGACCCACATAGAGGCTGGTAGAGGAGGGGCCTGGAATTTGGGTGAGGGGCAAGTGGGGGCAGGGTGTGACACCAAAATCTGGGGCAAGAGCCCTGTTTGCAATGTAGGGGTGCGGGTGAGGGAGCAGGGAAGGGGAAGTAGGGCAGTGATGACTGCTGCCATATCAGGATCCAGCCTGTGAAGAGCCCCAGGGGTCTGGATTTGGCCTGAGAGGGAGCAGGGTGAGTTTGAAACCCCTGATCTACAATGCATTTCACAGTGAAAGTAATTTCTAATTTGCTGCTTAGGGGCTGATGAAAAGCTTGCTGGTGCCAGTGGAAAGAATCCCTTTGATTTTTCATTGAGATTTAGATAAGGTCTTTAGTGACTGTTGACATTACTTGCAAAGAACTTTTAAATACCGAGTCATTTGTTGAGTATCTTTGCCTATATCCCCTCACTAGGCCTTTTAGAGATTTTTTTTTTCCAGCTGAAAAATTTTGGCCAAAAGCCAACAAATTCAGCTGTGAAACATGTTTAAACCAAAAGTGTCCTATGAGAATTATTGCTTATCTACTTCATGCCTTCATTCTGTATAGGGTGATTTCCTTGGCTGGACTGGTCCCTGTTTCCCTCCTACCCCCGCATCCCATCCCTACTTATTTTTTTTTGTTTGCTTGCTGAGGTCATATTCTGTATCCTTGGACTATCTGTCTGTGGAGCAGCCTACAAACTGATTGTTTGATATGGTTTGTTATGTTACTTGCTCCAGGAATGTTTTATTACATCTATGCCTCAACTTTCTTTCTGAAAGATCCTTCTTTTTGCATTTCTGTACAATGCATAATAGGCATGATAGGACCCATGCATCCTGAAGCACAGTTCCTTTGTGCCTGTCCAGATCTGTTGCCAAGACCAGGGCCTTCTGGATAATTTTCAAATGTGAGACAGGCAATTGCAAAATGCGGGTAGGAAGTCAAGCTGAACTGATGCAGCTGCATTACATGTGGCTCTGACTTTATTTTGAAAGAAATTGTTGCAGATTACAGAGTGATCCAAGTCTACTGTAAACAGAAAAATTATCCCAGTTGTAGCAACCAGCCACTTCAATGAGCAAAGCTTCTAAGATATCTTTGTAAGATGTACAGATATTGTAAACAAAAGGTGTTACAAGCAATAAGTTTCTTCACCTGCTATTCACCTTTTTCTGAGTAGTAGAATTCTGCCTGTATGTATATTGAATAGCATGTTATCCAGAATAGGACTATTTGTATAGTAAAATACAATATGAGATGGGTAAGGGTGTCATAATCTACACCAAAGTGT